ACCTTCAAACATTTAGTAGGGGGAGAGGAGCAGAGTGAACAGCACCCATCTAGGAAGGAAGCAAGGGCATGGACTGAACCAAGGTTGAAGTAACCAACACCCCCTATATCCTGGTCCCTAAAATCCAAATGGGCCAGCTCTGGGGCTTCCAACCTAGCCCGTTGCAACACAGAATACCTTGCATGCAACAAAGCCGCCGTCTGACCCCCAACATCCTCAGACGAGGAATGGATAAATTAAATAACAAGCGGGGGACATGTCCTACAAGACTCATGGTCGTAGGTGTCTCCGACCCAACAGGCAGCATGACTGAGGCAGGATGGATGACCACCACCACGAGGCAAAGGCAACGAACACCCCTTGGCATCGAACAAGGCGAGACAAGGCTCGGAAGACACGTCCACGGTCCCACCCCCACCCCGAACCCTTTGGTGATTTCCAGGGCTTGTAGGGTTACTTGAACCTTATGGGGAACCCAGGCACTGTGGCCAGCTAAGCTGATAACTCCTGTCTGCTGCAGGCAACCTGACAACTGGCATCACCATGATACATTGTACAGTTGATAAACTCGATTTAAGGAGAGGTCACTATGGGGAACTTTGAAATTTTTTTAATGAGTGTAATTGGACAGAATTGTTACTAGGCAGGGAAGTAAATGAAATGTATGCCAAATTTTTAAAAATATACGAGGAAGGCACACAAACATTCATACCAAAACAGAGAGGCAGGGCCAGAAAACAGGATTGGTTCGACAGAAATTGTGAGAGGGCCAGAGACCAAAAGACACAAAAATGGAATCAGTATAGGAAGAGGCCAAACCCCCAAACATACCAGCGATACAAAGATGCGAGAAACAACTATACGACAGTAAGGAGAGAGGCAGAAAGAAATTTTGAAAAAGGGATAGCGGATAAATGTAAAACAGAACCGGGCCTATTCTACAAATTCATAAACAACAAATTGCAGGTAAAGGATAATATCCAGAGGTTGAAAGTGTAACACAGATTCACGGAAAATGAAAAGGAAATGTGTGAAACATTAAATGAAAAGTTCCAAAGTGTGTTTGTACAAAATGAAATCTTCAGGGAACCAGACACGATAAGAATTCCAGAGAACAACATAGAGCGGATAGAGGTGTCTAGAGATGAAGTGGAAAATATGCTAAAGGAGCTCAGTAAGAACAAAGCAGCTGGCCCAGATGGAGTTTCACCATGGGTTCTGAGAGAATGTGCATCTGAGCTCAGCATTCCACTTCACCTGATCTTTCAGGCATCCCTGTGTACAGGAATCGTAGCAGACGTGTGGAAACAGGCTAACATAGTTCCAATCTACAAAAGTGGCAGCAGGGAAGACCCCCTCAATTATAGACCTGTATCATTGACAAGTGTAATAGTGAAAGTATTGGAAAACTAATCAAAACTAAATGGGTAGAACACCTGGAGAGAAATGATATAATATCAGACAGACAGTATGGTTTTCGATCTGGAAGATCCTGTGTATCGAATTTACTCAGTTTCTATGATCGAGCCACAGAGATATTACAGGAAAGAGATGGTTGGGTTGACTGGTGAGAAGGTGGTGGAGGCCAAGACCGTCAGTACCTGTAGCTTCAAAGCGTTATATGACAAAGAGTGCTGGGAAGACGGGACACCACGAGCGTAGCTCTCATCCTGTAACTACACTTAGGTAATTACACACACACACACACAGACTAACCAGCCCCCCAGAGAGAATCCTCAGCTGCTGCTGCTGAATGCAAGCTGCACCGGCCGCAGTGCGCCCTCACCCAGCACAAACCCACTCCCTACCCGGGGCAAGCAGGGAAGCCCAAGATCCCCCGCAAACCCCAAAGGCGAGAACACCACCAAGCAATGAAGTCCTCAAACGGTAGTGAGACCCGAACGACCCAGGGAAGATAACCCTGACTGCAAGAGTAGTAGTTACTGGGCACCTAGAGAAGGGAATCCTAGGTGCATGCAGCCCAGTATACTTGTAGGAACACCTAGCCACCACACAACACAGCTGGCAAAGTCACAAACGCAAAGTCAGACAATAAATTGAGGCCAGAGAGGAGATGTGACACCTGGCACATCAGTCTAAGAACTGAGGGTGGTGCAGCCTGCTCGCCTGAGCAGGTCCCCCTCCCCCCCCCATCGAGGGAGAGTGAGGCACTAATGAGCAGGGCGCTAGTTGGATGACATGCTGCTTGTTTCACTGATTTCTATTGAGGGGAGTTCTGGGCCTCTGTTCAGACATAGGTTGCAAAATTTTAACCAGTTAAGAGATATGTAATGGTTCACCTACTTTTCTGGGTGCCTGTCCCAGTCTATGGCAGACATGACAAACTCTACATATAGAGAGCTCATATGGTCATTGCTCCCTTTGCCTCTCTGAGAGGGCCAGGTTCTGGTTTGTGGCCAGAACTCCAAGGACTGATGGCACCAAACTAATATGGCACATGTCAGTTTGATAGCTTCAGGGAGCCAACGAGGCTCCCCTCAGAAATTAACGCTCAAGAGTCATATTTCTGATAGGCATTGGTCTGGTCTAGTCTGGTGAGGCTAGGTTAGGTTCTGTGAACTTAGGTTAATAATATAACATTACAACGTAGATTAGATGTTATAAGCTTACCATATAGATGTAGGAAGTTGATTTATTAAGTTGGGATGTTGCTTATTGAAATTTAGAATTTATTATGAACGAACGGGAATATTAGCATCCACAGTTTTTTTTTTTTTTTTGGCTTATATATTAGCAGCAGTTCTGCCTCTCATATATGTGGTGTATTATGGATAAGTTAATTAAGGTTTGCTAGATATTATGCTCTAGTTTGGGTTTAGTGGACTGGATTTGGTAATTTAATAGCCTTTAATGCAATGTGGTAATTGTTGAAATAAACTTTAAATAAATGTGTACAGTACAGTACTATGAGATAAGGTATTTTTCAAAGGTAAAATACTGTAGTTACCCATTGATTGCGTCCATTTTCTCTTATGGAATTATTCCTTCTTGGGATGTGATTAGGGGAACTGGATACCTCGGTGGTCTGGCTGGTGTGAGTGATGTATATAATAATAATAATTTATTCACAAGAACATACAATGAGTTGGTGAGATTACTAAAGATTGGTATTTTTACATTCTTGCAAAGCCACTATCACGCATAGCGTTTTGGGCAAGTTCTTAATCTAACATATCAGGTAAGATGAAAACGTGCATTGTAGCAAGGTTTTATATCAACAAATAACAACAATATAAATTGACAGAGGTGATTACACTGGTAAAGAAATGTCTTAAGTACAGTACTAATATTAGGGAAGTGGGTAGTACAAGATACAGTGTGAGTTTGAAGCACAAGGTAGGAAACTAAGGATGAAATTAGGTACTTTTTGGTTTTACTTTTGAACAGGGCATAGGTTGGACAATTTTTTAATTCATTATGGAGTGAGTTCCATAGACTGTGTCCTTTTATTTACAGAGTGTTTGCACAGATTTAGTCTGAGTGGGGATATCAAAAGATATATTTATTTTTGGAGTGATGCTCATGGGTTCTATTACACCTATCAAGGAAAAGTCTCGGTTCAAGATTAGCATTTAGGAACAAAGTTTTGTACATGTAAATAACATATGAGAATGTATGAAGTGAGTATGTTTAGCATGTTAAGGGATTTAAACAGAGGGGCTGTGTGTTGTCTGAAGACAGTTTGTTATAGTTCTGATAACAGATTTTTGCTGAGTGATGATGGGCTTGAGGTAATTTGCAGTTGTTGAGCCCCATGCACAGGTACCATATGTAAGATAGGGATATATAAGTGTGTAGTATAATGAGAGGAGAGCAGAGTGGGGGAACATAAAATCTGATTTTAGAAAGTATATCGACCGTTCAATATAATGATATTGGAGCCTTGCAAAGAGATCTTCAAAGATGAACTTCACAAATGGTCAGAAGACTGACAAATGCTTTTTAATATCTACATTGATATCTAATATCTAATTTAATATCTTTTCTAATTACATTTATTCTCATTTCATTTTTAACTTGTACCCATCATGTTTGCATTTTTTGCTATAGATATTCATTACAATAATAATAATAATTTATTTACAAGGTAAGGTACAATGAGTTGGTTAGATTCCATAAGATTGGTATTTGTACATTCTTGCAAAGCCACTAACATGCTCAGCATCACTCGGAACACGCTACCTATCACTATCACTCACTAACACACTAATATCTCTCAGAATTTGTTATTGAGCTTTAAAATAAAGGAATTACATGAACACACATGAAGATTAGAGGTTTATCTTTAATTTACCGTTGGTCGAATGTACCAAAGCGTAATAACGACAAAAATTCAAGGATATGTGGGGAGGAGTTGCCATATTGACTGTTGCAATGGAGTGATCATTGTTTCACAGTAATGCAACGGCAGTTTGCTGACCGACGAGTGTCAATGTGAATACGTACTAGTTTCTTAATTAGCTTTGCAATGGTGCATTTACCTCTCTAGACACCAAGAGTGTACGTTTATATAATTGATTTAAACAATGGATGCACACATTCATGTATGTTAACCAATGAATTTGATATGGAATGGAGTCTAGTTTAATATACATGACATATGTCCTCAGTCGTATTCAATAACTTGGATCTTGTGGCAACATATGCTTTTCGACCTTTGAAATACAGTGGTTTTGGGGGTAAAATTGAAGTCTTATAGTATTTTTGAACACCTACTAGAGCTTATGGCTGGCCGTCTGGTTTGGGTAAAATTTGACCAATCGCCATTTTCACTAATTTGCATATTTTCGGTATAAAAAGTCATAATTAAAAACTCAAAATGAGTGCAATGAGCCAGAATTCAGCTAAAAAAAATATGGCTCAAGTCATATTTCTGATATTTTCGATACTGTATTTTGAAAACTGTAGGTCAATTTAGGAAAAATCTGACCAATCACCATTTTCACTAATTTGCACATTTTTGGTATAAAAAGTCATAATGTAACCACTGTGCTGCGCACCTTTAATCTTAGCACTTGAAAAAATATGTTTATTGTACAGGTGATCTTACTGGTAACCAGGCTTCACTTTGATAAATGTTGCCATTCCTTATGATGGTTCTTCTCAAGCTAATCATTGGCAATGCATGCTCTAGAAACAGTACAGCCTACACAAGTCTAAAACTCTCCCAATTACAAGACCATTTCCAGCACCGAGTGCCGGCAACAATTCACTCGCTCACTAGCAACAACAACAACAAATATAAGTCCTTCATCCACAAATTACAGAGTAATAACATTACTTGCACCTATTTTATATGTACTGAACACTGTACATTATATATATAATTTTATAAATGTACAGCATTTGACATTTATCTATAAAATGTCACTTTATATAGCAGATATCCAAAGAAAACTTGTTTAATTAACACCGTCCAAGAGAGCACCAAGCAGTGAAGTACACCCCCAGTGTGAGAGCATCATGACAAATAAGCCAACAGCACCAGCTTACAGTTACACACACACTGCTCATAATTGTGGAGCAGGTTATACCAAAGTACTTAGAGAGATACAGCCAGTGAAAATTAAAAAAAAAAAAAATGTAAAGTTAGATGTGATGCTACTGTACTAGCACAAGATATAGCACTAGTCCTAGGCCAAGATTCACCAAGCACTTAAATGTTCACTTACGAGACCTCTACACCTCTCCTCAACCATGGCTGCTTAGTTTACATTTATTGAACAGTTTGTGTGCTCCAAAGTGCTAAGAGATTGTCTATAACATTGGGGGTACAAAGATGGCAGACTGTTTAATAAATACACACTATGCTGCCATGATCAAAGAAAGATAAAGATATCATAAGTGGAGGTGTAAAGGTTTGATGAATCCTGTTCTGGCTCACTTGTCAATACAGTACTGCCTCTCACAGGAAACCCAACTTGCTCTTTGTGAAAAACAACACATATCAAACTGAAGCCCAAGATTACCAGCTAATGACACTTTCACTATAATATAATGGTCCCTGTTATCTACTCTTCATATCTGCTTCAAGACCACCTCAAGCAGTGTAAGGTGAACGTCACCTCAATTATATTGACTAAATATTTCTACCCTGTTTACCCATTTACATCTGAATGCAGCCTTAAGTGCTTACGTGAGCCCAGCTGGAAGGTTCCCTTGATTGCAAAAGGCACGATATTTTGTCTACTGGCATCACTCATCATCATCTTTGTCATCGTACTCCTCGTAATCCTCATCCTCCACTTTATGGATCACTCCTTTGTGCGAAGTAAACTGTTGAGCATGATCATCCTGATCAATATCCTTATTTGAAGCACCAGAGTCAGCCATGTTCTCACCGGAGGCACCAGAATCACTCGTATCCTAAAATAATCCAAGTACTGTACAGTAAAATAAACCAAAATATTAAAATTTGGCTGAACATGTTCTAATACCAAATTTAATGAACATTGCAAATAAATGTATAAGTTCTGGAACACTCAGGTATGATAAACAGCAGCAAGTCTTTGTCTTACTGCCTGGCTCAATAGATAAATCCCAATAAGCAATACTAAGCTCAATATATGCATGTTGAAGAGCAAGGTTACACAATGTGAAAACCGCCAACTTGTTGATGGTTAATAGTTATCCCAAGATAAGGTCTGCCGAGAAAGTTTCCGATTCCAAATTTGATTCCGATTCGATTGACAAAACCATGGCTATGTCCAGTAAGTTGCTGGAAGATAGTTGGAGAGAGATGAAATTTTAGAGAAACTAGTTAATGCATTCTACTATCACATACAACATTTAAACCTTTAAACAATGGTTATACTGTAGTCTCTAAACTTAAAAAGAACTTTTATGAGCAAGAGACCATGGCTGATTCCCAGTCATAGCCATGGGTTTATGCGGATCACCATTAACATGCTAGGCTCTCGTCAGTTACCTGCGAGTCTTCTGTTCCCGTGGCTAGGGTGAAGAGTCCCAGCTCATCAGCATGCTGAAGCAGAGGGCAGATGATGGATGTTTCAACACCAAGGGTGTACTCACAGGTCTGTGGCTCCAGCAGATATAGTGTCACAGAGCTTGGACTGGAAAGTCAGGTAGTACATACAAAAACATGAACTTATACATCAAGATGTATACATAAGTTTCCATAAACAGCCTAACTTGTATTTATAAAGAAGGGCATTTCTGAGGAAACCTTTTCCAGCATATAAAGTGTAACCTACTAATAGAGAAGTCTGCATAATTTGAGCATTAATTACGTCATCAATGAACTAGTTGTCTAGATGTACGAGAGTGAAAACTGTCAAAATGTTTCACTTGTATAGTATCCACTCAATTTAACCTCTTTTATACCAATCTCCCGGTAATAACGACCGGTTTGGGAGATCGGTATCTGGAGCCTCGTATACCGGTCTGGTGGTCGATATTACCGACGGTCGGTATTGAGTTTGTTTTGGCATCGGCGGCCCCTCACATGGCAACCAGGCCACTGACCTCGATCATCCAGAGTGGTATATTAAAATCTTAACTTTCTTTTAAAATTATTCAGTTTTATGAAGAAAATTATAAATTATTATTAATAAAATATTTTAAAACAATTGTTATTAAGCAAAATTCTTTGTTTTCTTATTAAATACCTTTTATAGTATAGGCAATAGGTATTTTTTTTCCCACGGACCTAGAATGTACTGTGCCTGGCCATGTGACCGCATTGTTTATTGTGAACTCGCACGGCTGAGAGCAATGTCTCAGAATATTAGCCAGAGAAAATTAGATTCAGACAAAAATAGATAAATTCATGATTTCAACGGTTCGTGAAAGCACCCACTGGGAATTCAACAAGTCATGCAGCATCCGCTGGCAACGAGTGCCCTACAAGCCATGCTGCACCCACCGATGCTGAATTCCCATCAACAAGTCGTACAGCCTCCGCCGGCAACGAATGCTCTGCAAGCTATGCTGCACCCGCCGATGCTAAATAAGATAATAGGGAAGATAAGGTAAGGTAATTATCAAAAGGAGGCACCAAACCGGGAAGGCTATGTAGCACCATCAAAGTGCGAAATAATCAGAGGGCGATAAATATCACCAAGAATGCCAATGGAGAACAGAAACGCATAAGGCGAACGATATCAAAAGTATCTGATTGGGGCCTCGTAGCCTGGTGGATAGCGCGCAGGATTCGTAATTCTGTGGCGCGGGTTCGATTCCCGCACGAGGCAGAAGCAAATGGGCAAAGTTTCTTTCACCCTGAATGCCCTTGTTACCTAGCAGTAAATAGGTACCTGGGAGTTAGTCAGCTGTCACGGGCTGCTTCCTGGGGGTGGAGGCCTGGTCGAGGACCGGGCCGCGGGGACACTAAAGCCCCGAAATCATCTCAAGATAACCTCAAGATAACCTTCACCAAGAATTCTATCAAGGGACAAGTGACCGCAAGGGACAGTCGGAAAGCAAGACACACACTCCCTGGAAGTTGGGACATTCGACAACGATATGAACATCTGTAAGGGGGACAACACAATTTGGACAATAAGGAGCAGGGCAGCGCTCTATTAAGTGACCATGAGTTAAGCGAGTATGGCCAATCCGCAGCCTTGCTAAAGCAGTTTCCCACCGCCAGTTACAGTGGTAGGAGGAAGGCCACGGGGAACACACAACGTTTGAGAGTACGCAGCTTGTTACCAACTACAGAGGACCAACAACCCTGCCAACGGGCAAGGATGGAGGAATGAATAACAGGATAGAAGTCGGAATAAGGAATACCTTTACGGGAGATGGGACAAGAACGGATAGCTTCCCTAGTGGCAGCATCCGCACGCTCATTTAAAGAAACACCAATATGGCCGGGAACCCAGCAAAACTCTACTGATTTAAATTTACTAGAAATAAGAAACAGCCAATGTTGAATTTCAATGACCACCGGATGGACAGGATTAACCCCTTAACTGCGTTGCCTCCAAATATGACACCCCCGCAGTGCGCAGGAAATAAATTCTCTCTAAAAAAAAAAAAAAGAATTTTTTCCAAAGTGTTAAAAACCCTTCCCTGAGTATGGGTACGTAAAAAAAAAAAATTGAAATTGTACTTACTTCGGCTGCTATTGGGTCCGTAAGTTGGGGCGTGAAGTCATCATTCCCCATTCGCCCATGACGTACGCTCCCGGGGTGGGGCGCGCGAGTTGCCGCGGATATATTTTTGTTAATTTTTTGCGCACAGTTCCAAATACATTTTATTTGTTTTTACATGCTAATCCTATGTATAATGAACACGTACACTATATTATGGCAGTAAAACATCGGTACTGTCCAAAGGCACTGTGTTACGTGCAAGACACTTGTGTACACGTATGTTGCACATATTTACCATTTATCATGCTAATTTATGTATATATACAATCTATTTACACACTATACACTGTCACACAGTATATACATTCACCATCAGCACACACAGAACTCCGCGAGTGTGAGCTGCCACACCCAGCCAGCCAGTCCTCCCTCTCTCCTCCAACATCGTACTCGCCATCACCCCTCCTCCCACCATACTCACTATTTATATTACACTATTTACATATGTTATGTATACCTATCTACATGTTTTATTCACCAGAACTATGCAAGTAAGCCAGTATTGTGTCCAAACAGTACAGTTGCCACCATACACTGCATGAGAAATCACACAGCAGACGACGCTACGATTACGTCACCTCCCTCACAAAAATAGCTCCTCCCAACATACTTTTGTTGCTGTTATTATACAATATACACACACTTTATATACCCATGTACATATGTGTTCCCCATAGTGAACCACTAAGCTAGTATGGTGAGCAAAACAAGAGTGGCTCCCACACACAGTGGAGGCCACCTCAATTCTCTCCCTCCCTCCCTCACCAAAATTCCTCCTTCCACAATACTACGCACAATGCTAATTATAACCACAATCCTGGTCACTAATTCCTGTAAATGAATAATTGACCACACGTTTATTTTGAAAAGGAACCTAAGTCATTTGAAGATTCCTAGATGGACGAAATAATGCTGTGGTGCCATGACTAGCGCTGTGAACATCGTGAACAGCTTTGAATCACTGATATTTGAACATTGTTCCCAGTCATTATCACACTCAGGCTCTTCTATAATACTATCATGGCTAAATAATACAGATTATATATATATTTTGACATTATTAGGCGATGCTATGGTCACACGCTGAACTGCAGTGCTGTGCGCTCATACTGCGTGCGCCGGCCTTGGTTGCTCACTACTGAGGCTCCAACACCCGGGAATGTGGACCACGATTTTTTTAAAGATGGCGTCTGTTTACAAGAGCCCTGAGGAAGCTGATGTGAACCCCACGTAGCCGCGGGAGTTTTGAATGGAACGTGAAAAATAAAAATACCCGGAGGCGCGTTGCGCAAACCAGACGTGGGCCTGCAGGCGCGTTGCGCAGTTTAAGGGTTAAAGGACCCCAGCGTCATGAGGGCACTATGAGAGTCAACTACAACCACAAAGGAAAAATGACAATGAGAAAGCAAGAGACGGAGAGCATAGAGAATAGCATAAAGTTCCGCTGTGAAGATGCTAGCCTCTGAAGGGAGGCGACACATATAAGTGCGGTCAGGAAAAACAACAGAGTAGCCCACACTGTCCGCAGACTTAGACCCATCAGTGAAGATGGAAATAGAGTGGGAGTGTGAAGAAAAGTGCTCAAGAAAAAGGCGTTTCAGAACCATAGGAGGGGTAAAAGCTTTGGCGATGCGGGTCAAGGACGTACAAGACTTTGGAAGAGGGACTCTCCACGGAGGGGAGGAACAATACGAGGAGAAACATTAGAAATACGAACAGAAAGAGAATCCTGTAAGCGAGATAACCGGACAGAAAGAGGGAGGCAATGAAGAGGAACAAGAACCACAGGAGGGGTAAAAGTTAAAGCACGACAGAGGCGAGAGGAAGGATGTTAAGGACCGCGCAAATAGCGAAGACGGTAGCGATCGCGGAGGTCCTGGAGAGAGAGGAAGCCCGTGTCAACATACAAACTGAGGGCGGGAGTCGAACTAAAGGCACCAGAGCTGAGACGCAACCCAGTATGGTGCAAAGCATCAAGACAGCGAAGAGGAGGAGTGCAAACAGAGGAGCGTGCACCTATCTGCCCCCATGAAGTATGGGACAAAACCTTAAGGAGGTTAAGGGCCTTAGAACATTCAACTCGGAGGTAAGAGATATGGGCTGACCAAGACAAATGAGTGTCAAAGATTAACCCCAAAAGCTTAACGGAATCCCTGTACATAAGGGGCTGACCATAAAGCGACAAAGAGGGACGAAGAACGACATGATTCCAAGTAAAAGTCATTGCACAAGTCTTAGTAGTAGAGAACTTGAAGCCATGATCGGTGGCCCAAGATGACACGGCATCAATTGCAAGTTGAAGCTGCCGTTGAAGGAGAGGCGAATCACCACCCTGACAGCAAAGGGCAAGATCATTGACATAGAGAGCGGAGAAGACGCTTGAAGGAAGAGAGGAAAGAAGACCATTGAGGGCAACCAGAAAAAGAGGAGTGCTCAGAACACTACCTTGGGGGTACACCCTCATACTGCCTAAAAGGGGTAGAGAGAGTGGTACTAAGCCGCACACGAAAGGAACGACAAGAGAGGAAACTCTGGAGGAAGAGAGGGAGATTCCCACGAAGGCCAAAAGAATGAAGTTGAGAAAGAATATGATACCGCCAAGTAGTGTCGTAAGCCTTTCCAGGTCAAAAAGGACGGCAACAATGGAGGTCTTCGCAGCAAAAACCGTACGAATATAGACCTCCAAGTTCACCAGGACATCCGTTGTGCTGCGGCACTTGCGAAAACCAAACTGAGAAGGGAAGAGGTGGTGATAGTGTTCTAAGAACCACATCAAACGAACGTTAACCATATGTTCAAAGATCTTGCAGACACAACTCGTGAGGGCAATAGGGCAGAAGTCCTTGGGGATGACCCGAGAGACCCTGGTTTCCGAACAGGGAGGACAACAGCATCGAGCCAGTCCTCAGGGACTGACGACGACTCCCAGACCCAATTGTACAGACTCAGTAAATACTGAGACGTGCATGGAGGGAGATGGGCGAAGCATTTCATAATGAATGCCATTGGAGCCTGCTGTCGTAGAACTGCAGAGGGCCAGGGCTGACTGAAGCTCAGAGAGAGAGAACTGATCATTATAAGGAAGGCGAAGATGAGTACAGAAATTTAAAGGACGAGATTCAAGAATAGGCTTACAAAGAAGGAAGGATTGGAGAAGATGAGAACCAGAACTAACAGATGAAAAGTGGGAACCCAGTTCGGTCGCGACCTGCAACGGGTCCGCCACAAGAGCACCACGGAGGCGAAGGACCGGCAAGACATCGGGAACGAACTTACCCGCAATCTTGCCGATACGCTTCCAGACCAGTGGTAGAGGAGTTTCGGACGTAACGGTGGAGACATAAGTCATCCAGCAAGCACGTTTAGCCGCATGGATGATCCTACAGGCCACCGCACTCGCCTTTCGAAACAGAAGAAAAGACTCAACTGTCTGCCGGCGGCAATGTCTCTTCCAGGCCGCATGCTTACAGCGGACAGCCCGAGCACAGTCCACATTCCACCAGGGAACGCACTTCCGCGTTCCCAAGAGGAAGAGCGAGGAATAGAGCTGAGGGCAGTGTCAAAAACAGTGTCATGAAAAAGAAGGAGGGCGCGAGGGAGAGGCAGAACGGAGAGGTCGGAAATAGTAGCAAGGAGAGCAAAGAGGCGCCAGTCAGCCTTGGCAAACCGCCACCTAGGGAAGGAGAGAGAGGAGGGTGAAAAGAGAAAAAAGTAACAAGGATAGGAAAATGGTCACTGCCATAGAGGTCATCAAGGACCTGCCACCTGAAATCTAAGGAAAGGGATGACGAGCACAGAGAAAGATCGAGACAGGAAAGGGAGCGAGTCCGAGAGTCCAAATGAGTGGGCTCACCTAAATTCAGAAGGGGCAGAGAAGAAGAGAGGATGAAAGGTTCAAGGAGGCGACCCCGGGTGTTTGTCAGCACATCACCCCAAAGGGCATGACGACAATTGAAATCACTCAGCAGGAGCACAGGCTCCGGCAAGGAGTCTAGGAGGTGTTTAAGATCGGGAAGAGAAAGTGGGACAGTCGGGGGAAGATATATGGAACAAACCGTGTACCATTTACACACAAAGACACGGGCAGCAGAACAGTGGAGAGGCGAGGAAAAAAGTAAGGGGACAAAGGGAACATCGGAGTGAATCAAGAGAGCAGAAGAGTTATGGGTCCCAGCAACAGCTGGGTTGGGGGAGAGAAAAGAATAGCCACGGAAGCGACCAGGACGAGCACCAAGCATCGGCTCCTGGAGACAGACACAAAGGGGTGAAAACTGAAATTAAGAGTTGGAGGTGAAGGAAATTGGCGTAATACCCATGGATGTTCCATTGAAGAATAGACATTGGCAAAGAGAGAAAGGATAGCAACAGAGAGCAAAGAAGAAACAAAGGTGAAAAAGGAACACAGCACATTAAAAAAAGCACAGGGTCAGGATCAGGGTCAGCAAAGTTAGGGTTAGGGGGCATGGGTAAACGAGTAAAGATGGAGGGAAAGAAGCGGGAAGACAGACCAGAGGTGGACGAGCAGGGTCTGGAGGAGGAGGGACAGAAAGAGGGGAGTGCACCGCAGTAAGGGCAGTAACGGAGATGGAACTGGGGACTAAAGAAGCCTCCATAGTAGGAACAGGGGGCACCACCACCGAAGCAGGAGGAACGATAGAATCAGAAACAGGGGGTGAAGAAGAAAGCGAAGCCTCCTTACCTACCGGGGAGGAGGAAGGAGAGGAGCCAGGTTTCCGCTTCTGACTCAAAGAGACAGGCATCCCAGCAGCAATGTACTGGGCAACAGACTTCAGCGTCTCAATAGGAGAAGAAGAGCGAGAGCGAACAACATGACCACCAAGAGAGCGATGGACATCGGTCCGCACAGTCAGGCGGCGTGGAGAGCCAAGAGACAGAGGAGAATGATGGGAAGGAGGACCAGAGGGAGAGGAGAAAGAAGACACAGGAGACATGACAGACTGGGTAGAAAGGGGAACCTTAGCCAGAGAACCAGGAGGGGGACCCTCCGGGACAGAATGAAGGGTAACAGGGGAGGTGGTGGTGGGCGTGTCCAGGTCTAAGACTTGGAAACGGTTGCGAGAGTGAGGAAGGTGGGAAGGACGAGGAGAGGAAGAGCGCACCAGGCGAGCATAAGAAACGCCAGCGAAAGAAGGGAGACGATGAACTTGGCGCCGAGCCTCGGGAAAAGACAAACGATCCCGGTGCTTCAAGTTGAGGACGGCTCACGTTTGTAAAGTATACACGTGCTGGAGAAGATAGGGTGGGCCTCACCGCAGTTGAGGCAGCAGGCCTGGGGAGAAGTGCACTCCAACTTAGAGTGACCCTCGCCTCCACACATGGGACAGAGAGAGACAGGACTAGAGCACTTGAGGGCACCATGTCCAAACCTCCAGCACTTATTGCAGAGCCGAGGAGACGGAATATACTCCTGAACGGAGCATCTGGAACTAGCAAGAATGACAGAAGGCGGAAGGGTAATCTTAATCAAAGGTAATCTTCACAACCCGAAGGGGCAGACAGCGATGACCACGAGGGGGACAAGTAAACGTATCCACCTGGAGGACAGAATGACCCTGGGCTTCAAGGACATGCTTGATATCCTCGTGGCAGTCCTTTAGATTCCTAACACCGGTCGCAACATGGTGCGGGAGGAGAACAGTGCCAACACTGGCATTTAATCGAGCGTTCTTGGAGACCCGAACAGGGGTCTCGCCAAGGCAGGATAAGGCGGCCAAGCAGGTGGCTGCATCCTGAGAAGGAGCAGCAACAACACGGGTACCAAGACGGGTGGGGTTAAAGGTAAAATAGGCATCTACGGAATCTACAAGATGCCTATGAAGGAAAAAATCATCAGGAGTTGAATCCAAAGGATGGAGGTCAAAGTACTTAGTCCACGTAGCAGGACCAAGCAAAGCATGGTACGAATTAGTATGGGAAGGGAGCATACGAGAGTGGCCGTGGCGGGGACGGCGATGAGAACCCTTAGAGAGAGACGGGTCAAAAGGTGCAGTAGTCACAATAAGAGATGGAACCGTGCAAGGGGACGAGACGGTCACCACAGCAGGCTTGGGGCTCGACCCAACCACAGAGTAGGGAGGGGAGCAGGGAGGAAGGGTCTGAGCCTAAACCGGGCCCTGTAGCGGTGGCTACAGATCCCAGTCTTCCAGGACGGTCCGACTCAGGGTCCTGGTCGCCCACCCCATGAGCCTGGGTAAGAGAAGTCGTGTCGTCATCCATGCAGCAAACAAAACAAAAAAGTTTGGGACCTGGAACCAAGGGATACCACCCACCAGGGCAGCCAGGGAGGCCGAGCGTGGGTCACACATTACCACCTCCCACAGTGGTCACACATTACCACCTCCCACAGTGGTCACACATTACCACCTCCCACAGTGGTCACACATTACCACCTCCCACAGTGGTCACACATTACCACCTCCCACAGTGGTCACACATTACCACCTCCCACAGTGGTCACACATTACCACCTCCCACAGTGGTCACACATTACCACCTCCCACAGTGGTCACACATTACCACCTCCCACAGTGGTCACACATTACCACTGCATATAATGATCAAGAATACTTACCTCCCATTCCAAGAAGGTAAACTATGAAAAATACAAATTATATGGATAAAAATGGTAAATACAAATACATTGTCTATTTTTTCTCACACACATGCAACTTAAAATATTTGTTTGATAAAGAAAAATATAAGCAGCATTCATTAAAAGAATATATTCCAGCCTTCCAGAAATCTCATCACTATATTTAAAAATCCAAGTCAAGACCTTGGTGGAATAAAGTGTCCAATTATTAAAGCATTAAAAAATTTCCATAACAAAAATGGCTCACCTGTTTGATTCCTTACACTTAAGCTTGACCTCGACCTGTCTTGGCTTACCCGTCAAGTCACACATTGTACCCCCAGAGTAAAAGTGTGACACGTGTCTCTTGCCCGGCTTGTACACCTTCTCTGGATTCTAACATTATAAAATAAAAATACTTTCAGAAAATTATCAAATTTGAGTGACTACTTATCACATGTAATATGTCCTGAATCAAAATATATCTGGCATCAAGTAAATATGAGATGCATTATCAATAAATTTTTATATAAAACCAGCATTGAATGTAATGAAATGCCTATTTTGGGGAAGCCCTGGTGGCTCCCTGAAATTATCTTGTTGAGATGGCTCCCAACTACTAGATCACATCGGCCTTAGAGTTCAGTTCAGCCTAACTGAGACTGGGATCAGAGCCAGAACCTGAGCCCCAAACCCCATCCCTCACCCCCTGTTCCTCACAAGAGGTGCAGGGAGCAGGTGACACTCTTCCACCTCACCAGGAAAGGCACCCCAAAAATCAGCAAACTAATACAAATCACTGCTAAAGTTCAAAAGAGACCAAAGCCTCACAACCTGCCAAAAGAACTCCTCAACAATGTAAATAAATGATTAAATCTCCTGAAACAAGCATCCACTCATTTGCCCCACCCCTCCCACTCACATGGGGAGGGAGGGGAGGCCACAGCTTACGCTGTCCACAACCCGAGCAGTTAGTTCCGGAGCAGATGCACACACAAACACCCCCAATGGATGACCTGGAAGAGACAAGGGAATCTGGGAGCCACTGGGACTCACCCACAAATTGCCATTTAATTACTCTCAATGCTGGTTTTCTGGGGGGAGGGGCCCCTTGTGGCTTCCCCTTGTGGCTTCCTGATGCTAACTACCCATGGAGAATAAAAACGGCCACACTAGAGGCGCCACAAACACCGGCTTAGTAGCAATTTAAGGTAAATGCTGTGCAAGTTCTTGTACTATTTTGTATTTCCATTTTTCCCATTGCATTTCAGGGAAAAGTGTATTAGTCGATGACCCCCACCATCGACTCATACAAAGCCAGTCGGGGTAAGCCAGAACCCAAACCCCCCTAACAGATGCAAACGGCTCATCGCAACCCAGGTAAAGCGTGTGAGAACATGAGGCGCCGGAGTCAAGCCGAATGGAAGACAACGAAAGCAGTAAGCCTGCCGCCCCACGACAAAACTGAGCCAGTCCCTGAACCCCAGATGAATTAGGACGTGCCAATATGCATCTCTGAGGTCAAGGAACACCATCCAAGCACCCGGCTCCAAAAGTCCACAGACCTGGGACAGAGTGGTTATCTGAAAGGAGGGGAAAAAAACTCAGGGGGTTCAGACGGGACAAGACCAGAATGAACTGCAGATCCCCACAGTCCCGTTTCGAAACTGGAAACAGGCAGGAAACCCACCTGAGGGACACCGTCATTTCGACTTTGCCTAAGTGTACCCACTCCAGGATGACCCGACAGAGCGCAGGGAAAGAGGACTGCCCCGCCAGTCCCAAATCCCCCAAAGGAAGGGGAGCCACCCAACGCAATTGCAGGCCAAAGGAAACGACCCAAACTGCCCATGAAGCATGGGACCAGGCAAGAGCAAGCAGGGCAAGCCACCCCCACCATCGACCCGTCAATGGTTACGGGTTAAGGGTTGTAAGACAACCCTTACAAGAGCCAAACCAATGTGCAGAGCGAACGTGCCAGGGCCTACGCGAACTCCAAAGAATGAGTGCGCACCGCCTGCCAGCACACGAGGCAAGAACAAAGAACATTTATTCCGCCTCCTTCAGAATTGGGACAAACAACTTCAAGGCAGCTCACCAAGGCATGCGCACCTGACACAGGTCCGGCACCCAACATCTCATCCTCCTCAAGCTACTCCGAAGACAACTTGAGCAGGGAAAAGAAACGCAAAACCGAAGCAAAGTATCCCCGGGCACCCAAATCCTCAGCTACCAGGGATGCCGAAAGGACGGGAACCTGCACGTGAAGCTGCACCTGGCCAATATCCTTGGGAAAAATGGGGATGAATAAGCACTCATTAAGGTGCTCCAACTCACCACCCCCAGGTAAACCTGAACAACCGTAGAAGTTTCCCCTCTATTCAAGCATGCTGTTCCAACAGAACGAATGCCATGCCCACAAAGTAAAGAAAGGGCAGTCTGCCAACCAGGATGACTCTGGCACCTCATAACACACCCAATAAGAAAAAACAGAACCGAACTCAAACGAGGACGGGTCCATTATCGAGGCCAAATCCGGGTCATGCAGGAGGTACGCCACAATGGCTTCCCAATCCTCCTCAGGCGGGATGCGGGAAATCGAAAACCTCCAGAAGGAAGGGACTGAAGAACCCGAGGAAACCTGGAACTGAACCCGGGTAGGAGCAGAACTCATCAAATTCGTACAGGGAGGGGAGGTAAGAAAACCCCTTCCCCTGCAACAACAAGCCCCACGCCAAGGATACCAACACCCGAGAAGGGTCAAACTGAGGGCCCACCCCCCCCCCAAGTCAACTCCTCCCAGCTCCAGGATCCTCCACGCCAGGGACCCAGGGCAGAGCCGTCCTCTAAACCCTCTGCCCCTAAAAAAATGGCAGAGTCCACTGGAAAAGCTGGGAAAAGGGGGGGGGGGGGCACTGGTGCCCCGGCCGGAGGAGCAGGCTCGAATGCCTCTGTCACCAAACCGGATGGGGTAGCCCCCAAGACCACCCAAGTCTCACCAACATCTAAACCCTGCCCCGACTCCAAAACCCTCAGATGTTTGGGAGCTGGCAGCAGGGGAAGGACAAGGGAGCGTGGACAAAACCAAAGTTGAAGCAACTAACGCCCCAAAGTCCGGGTGCCTAAAACCAAAGCGGGTCAGCCGCGGGGCATCCGGAAAGGCAACCAACCTAGCGCGTTACAGCAACCGAAACCTTGCATGCAACACCGAAGCCGCCTGCACCCGATTATCAGTATCAGTGGACTGGGTGAATTGGAACACCAGCAAGAAACACCACTCACAGGACTCCGAGTCAGAGGTGTCATCGACCCAACAGACAGCACGATGGAGGCAAAACCAGTGAATGTCACCCTGAGACAAGGGGACAGAGCAACCTTCAAACAATGCAGTTTTCCAGGGCCCTTAGGCTGACTGCTAAGGGAAGCTCAGGCAAGGTACTGCTAACTGGTTGGCCCAAACTACTGTAAGAACAATTAAAGCTAAACCCCTGCTACGTGTACAATCACGGGGACCTAGCGGGGGACCACCAGAATAACAGAGGGTGAACAATGACAAAGGGGCAGACCCCACCCCACCAGGCAACAAACAAAAACAAAAAGAAAACCCCCACAAAAGCATGTCTCCAGGAGGAACAGAACTGGCCACTGTGATAATAAGTGACAAGCTGCACAGTACTTTGCAGACCCAGTGACGATACTACCCCTTATCCAAGGTCAAACCATGGCTATGAAAATCCCAGCTGACCCCAAGGGTGGAAAATCACCAATCAGCAAAAGATCCCTACGGAGATAGTCCCTGAATGACTTGTGGAAGATAAACCCAAGCCGCAAGTGCAGTACTTACAGGGCACCTAGGGAAGACGGCTCTAGGCGCATGCAGGCCCAGTACTGTACTTCGTGAATTACTCCTGGTGCGCACACCACCACACAGCAGAGCAACACTGCAAAGGCACGGCACTGCATAGACAGGAGCCAGAGTCGATCAACTGCCACTCAACACAACAGTCTCAGAACTGGGGTTGGATGGCTGGCACGGGGATCTGGGTCTCCCCCCCCCCATCCCCCGGGCGGAAAGAGCTGTGCAGACAGTAGTGGGGCAGCAGTTGTGACATCATGCTTGGTTGCTTGTTTTCGGATTGGGGAGTTCTGGTTGATAGTTTGGCTTTCGGTAGCAATTTTGAACCAGGTGGAGTTTGTTTTGGGATGCATACCTTTCTGGGTGCCTAATCTGGTCGATGGCAGACATGGAATGCTTCCAACCACACGGAAGTTTCAATAGGCCATTGCTCCTCGTGCCTCTTTGAGGGGGCCAGGTTCTGGCTCATGGTCTCCGATAGGCAAGAACTCCAATCGAATTGACTGATGCCACAGTCTAATACATACACATCAGCCTGGTAAGCTCCGGGGAGCCGGAGGGGCTCTCCACAGAAAAGACCTCTCCACATTTCCCTGTAATCACCAATAGATAAACACCCAGTTATGCATCAACATATCTACTGTATTAATCGGTCACCTAATATGACAACAGGGCTCAACTGGACATTCTACACACACCAGATTCCTACATCCTTTTTTTTTTTTTTTTAATTTAAAATTAACCTATAGTGGAGTTGTACCAAAATCTACTTACTTTTTCCAGCCACTTCTTGTGCTGCTCTACATTAAATGCTCCCAGAAGAATGATCACCCGGTCCCCTTGACGATTCTCGTGGTACTGCTCAACCTTGCGACCATAACAGAACTCATACTTCCACCACCCAGAGCCCTCGTGTGCAAGAGAATGAAGAAGTATTAATTAATGTTTATGTATACATTAAAGCTATGAGATGCTTTCTTTCAAAATATTTATTCCACTCCAAGCCCTGAAGTCTCATTCTTATTTAATATATAATACTGAGACTTTACTTCTGGCAAAGTTTGAAATAAAGAATATTAATGGTGTATACACCATTAAGGAAAGAAACTGGTAAGTTTCTTATGAAACTTCATAAGAAAGCCTAAAGTTAATACTGTACAGTGTTAAAAATATATATACTGTACAAGGTTTCAACAAATTATGAAAAGCATTTTCCTGAGCAGATCACTCGGTCCTTCAATAAGGTCAAATCTGCTGTGTCTGCAGAACTGAGTCATGTACAGTCTGGCAGGTCAGTATTTTGACTCCTGCCAGACTATTTTGAAACTATAATCCCTTTCAAGCTTTCCTTCACTTCTCGAGTGACCACCAACAGAGCATTTTCACTAGCTACCAACTGGCCCGCCTGGCCACCTCCACAAAATGCCATCAGGTTGCAGCACCACATCCACAACAGTGTTTTTCTGACCCAAACCACCCCACATACTTCTCAACACAAAGAAACTACACAGTTGGGAAGAGATGACACAAGAATGGGAATAGGAGCAACCTAGTGATCTCCTTTGATAGGAGTCTTGCATATTTATTCAAAGACATATAGGGTCTCGGTAGTACAGTCGGGTTCATTCTTGACTCTCAATCGGGAATTCCGGGTTCAAATCCTGGGTGGGACAGAACTGGTTTGGGCAAGTTTCTTATCACCTAATCATGCCCCTATTCACCTAGCAGTAAATAGGTACCCAGGAGTTAGTTGGCCAGCTGTGCGGTTGCCTCCTGGGAAAGGTCAGTAAGTAAGTAAGTAATTATCAAAAGAAGGCACCAAACCGGGAAGGCTATGTAGCACCATCAAATACGCAAAATAATCAGAGGGCGCTAAATATCACCAAGGATGCCAATACGAGAACAAAAACGCATAAGGCGAACGATATCAAAAGTATCCGAGTCACCAAGAATTCTATCGAGGGACAGGTGACCGCGAGGGGCGGTCGGAAAGCAAGACACACGCTCGTCCTGGAAGTCAGGACATTCAAGAAGGACATGCACGACCGTAAGAGGGACAATGCAACTAGGACAATAAGGAGCAGGGCGGCGCTCCATCAAGTGACCATGGGTTAAGCGAGTATGGCCAATACGCAACCTCGCTAGAGCTGTTTCCCACCGCCGGTTACGGTGGAAGGAGGACGGCCACGAGGAAACACAACATTTAAGAGTACGTAGCTTGTTACCAGTAACAGACAACCAAGAAGCCTGCCAACGGGTAAGGACTGAGGAATGGATAACCGGGTAAAAGTCGGAATACGGAATGCCTTTACGAGAGATGGGACAAGAGCGGACAGCTTCCTTAGCGGCAGCATCCGCACGCTCATTTAAAGACACGCCAATATGGCTGGGAACCCAACAAAACTCAACCGACTTAAATTTACTGTGAACGAGAAACAGCCAATGCTGGATCTCGACAACTACCGGATGAACTGGATTAAAGCACCCGAGAGCCATGAGGGCACTACGAGAGTCAACAACAACCACAAAGGAAGACTGACAACGAGAAAGCAGGAGACGAAGAGCATAGAGAATAGCATAAAGTTCCGCTGTAAAGATGCTAGTCTCCGGAGGCAAGCGACACATATAAGTGCGATCAGGAAAAACAACAGAGTAGCCAACACCGTCCGCTGACTTAGACCCATCGGTGAAGACAGAAACGGAGCGGGAGTGAGAAGAAAAGTGCTCGAGGAAAAGGCGTTTTAGAACTGTAGGAGGGGTAAAAGCTTTAGTGATACGAGTCAAGGATGTACAAAACCGCGGAAGAGGGACCCTCCACGGGGGCAAAGAAGGAACAACACGAGGAGAAACATCAGAAATACGAACGGAAAGAGAATCCTGCAGGCGAGATAACCGGACAGAAAGAGGGAGGTGGTGAAGAGGAACAGGAACCGCAGGAGGGGTAAAAGTTAAAGCACGACAGAGACGAGAGGAAGGATGTTGCAAGGACCGCGCAAGATAGCGAAGACAGTAGCGATCACGGCGGTCCTGGAGAGACAGGAAGCCAGTGTCAACATACAAGCTAAGGACGGGAGTCGAACGAAAGGCACCAGAACTGAGGCGCAACCCAGCATGGTGCAAAGCATCAAGACGGCGAAGAGTAGAAGGAGAAGCAGACGAGTAAGCAGGGCAACCATAATCGAGCTTAGACAGGACGAGAGAGGAATGTAAAGCAAGGAGAGTGCGCCTATCTGCCCCCAAGAAGTATGGGACAAGACCCGAAGGAGGGTAAGGGACTTAGAGCACTCAACACGGAGGTAAGAGATATGGGGAGACCAAGACAAACGAGTGTCAAGGAATAACCCCAAAAGCTTCGCGGAATCTTTGTATTCAAGGGGATGACCATAAAGTGACAAAGAGGGACGAAGAACAACCCGTTTCCGCGTAAAAGTCATGGCACAAGTCTTAGAAGTAGAGAACTTGAAGCCATGACCTGTGGCCCAAGACGACACGGCATCAATCGCAAGTTGAAGCCGGCGTTGAAGGAGAGGCGAATCATCACCCTGACAACAAAGGGTAAGATCATCGACATAGAGAGCGGAGAAGACACCAGAAGGAAGAGAGGAAAGAAGACCATTGAGGGCAACCAGAAAAAGAGTAGTGCTCAGAACACTACCCTGGGGCACACCTTCGTATTGCTGAAAAGAGGGAGAGAGAGCGGTACCAAGGCGCACCCGAAAGGAACGACGAGAGAGGAAGCTGCGGAGAAAGAGAGGGAGATGACCACGAAGGCCAAAAGAATGAAGTTGAGATAGGATATGATAACGCCAAGTGGTGTCGTAAGCCTTTTCTAGGTCAAAAAGGACGGCAACAACGGAGGTCTTCGCAGCAAAAGCAGTACGTATATAGACCTCCAAGTTCACCAGGACATCTGTCGTGCTGCGGCACTTGCGGAAACCAAATTGAGAAGGGGAGAGGAGGTGATGGTGTTCCAGGAACCACATCAGACGAACGTTAACCATACGTTCAAAGAGTTTGCAGACACAACTTGTGAGAGCAATAGGGCGAAAGTCCTTAGGGGAAGTACCCAGAGACCCCGGTTTGCGAACAGGGAGGACAACGGCATCGAGCCAGTCCTCAGGGACTGACGACGACTCCCAGATCCGATTATACAGACTCAGTAAATACTGAGACGTGCTCGGAGGGAGATGGCGAAGCATCTCATAATGAATACCATCGGAGCCCGCCGCCGTAGAACCGCAGAGGGCCAGGGCAGAACGAAGTTCAGAGAGAGAGAAGGGATCATTATAGGGAAGCTGAAGATGAGTGCAGAAATCTAAAGGACGAGACTCAAGGACAGGTTTACGAAGAAGGAAAGATTGGGGAAGATGAAGACCAGAGCTAACAGAAGAAAAGTGGGAACCCAGTTCGGAAGCGACCTGCAACGGGTCCGCCACAAGAGTATCATGGAGGTGAAGGACCGGTGAAACATCGGGAACGAACTTACCCGCTATCTTGCGGATACGCTTCCAGATCTGGGCCAGAGGGGTTTCGGACGTAATTGTCGAGACATAAGATGCCCAACATTCACGTTTAGCCGTACGGATGGCCCTACGGGCCACCGCACTCGCTTTCCGAAAGAAAAGAAAAGAATCGGTCGTCTGCCTACGGCGGTGCTTCTTCCAGGCTGCACGCTTACAGCGGACAGCCCGAGCACAGTCCGCATTCCACCAGGGAACGCACTTCCGTGGACCCCGAGAGGAAGAGCGAGGAATAGAGCGGAGGGCAGCGTCGAAGACAGTGTCATGAAAAAGGAGGAGAGCGCGAGAGAGGGGCAGAAGGGAGAGGTCAGAGAGAGTAGCACTGAGGGAAAATAGGGTCCAGTCCGCCTTAGCAAACTGCCACCTAGGGAAAGAGAGGGAAGGGCGAAAAGAGAAAAAGGAAACAAGGATGGGGAAATGATCACTTCCATGGAGGTCATCAAGAACCTGCCATGTGAAATCTAAGTAAAGAGAAGAAGAGCAGAGAGAAAGATCAAGACAAGAAAGGGTACGAGTTCGAGAGTCCAAATGAGTGGGCTCACCAGAATTCAGAAGAGACAGGGAAGAAGAGAGGAGAAACGGCTCAAGGAGGCGACCCCGGGTATTCGTCAGAACGTCACCCCAAAGAGAATGACGACAATTGAAGTCACCCAGCAGGAGCACAGGCTCCGGCAAGGAGTCTAGGAGGTGTTTCAAATCAGGAAGAGAGAGCGGGACACTCGGGGGGAGATAAATGGAACAAACTGTGTACCATTTCCCCACAAAGATACGAGCAGCAGAACAATGGAGAGGCGAAGGAAAAAGTAAAGGAACAAAGGGAACATCAGCCCGAATCAAGAGAGCAGAAGAATTAGAAGCCCCAGCAATGGCTGGGGGGGGGGGGGAGAGAAAGGAATAGCCACGAAAACGACCAGGACGAGCACCAAGCATCGGCTCCTGGAGACAGACACAAAGGGGCGAAAACCGCGAAACCAGAAGTTGGAGTTCGAGGAAATTGGCGTAATAACCTCGAACGTTCCATTGAAGAATGGACAACGACGAGAAGAGAAAGGACAAAAACAGAGAACAAGGAAGAAACAAAGGCGAAAGACCAACAGAGCACGTTAAAGAATATCAGGGTCGGGATCAGGGTCAGCAAAGTCAGGGTTAGGGGGCATGGGTAAACTGAGCAAAGACGGAGGGAAGGAAACGGGAGAACAGATCAGAGGTGGGCGGGCAGGGTCCGGAGGAGGAGGAGGAGGAGGAGGAGGAGGAGGAGGAGGAGACAACGGAGAGGAGCAGTCAAGGACAGCAGCAGGAAGAGGGGGAGTAGAAAGAGAGGAGCGCACCCCAGCAAGAGCAGCAACCGAAAGGGAAGCAGGGGCCAAAGAAACCTCCATAGCGGGAACAGGGGGCGCAAGCACTGAAACGGGAGTGGAAGGAGCAACAGAGCCAGAAGGAGGAGCTGAGGAAGAAAGCGAAGCCTTCTTACCCGCCGGGGAAGAGGAAGGAGAGGAGCCAGGCTTACGCTTCTGACTTAAAGAGACCGGTGTCCCAGCAACTACGTACCGGGCAACGGATTCCAGTGTCTCAACAGGAGAAGCCGAACGAGAGCACACACGACGGCCGTTAGGAGAGCGATGGACATCCGCCCGCACCGACAGGCGGCGGGGAGAGCCGATAGATGGAGGAAGAGGATGGGAAGGAGGATCGGAGGGGGACGAGGAAGGAGACACAGAAGACACGACAGACCGGGTAGAAGGAAGGGGAACCCCAGACAGAGGACCAGGAGGAGGATCCTTCGGGAGAGAACCCAAAGGGACAGAGGAGGGGGCAGTGGGCGCATCAGGGTCCAAGGCCTGGAAACGGTTGCGAGTCTGAGGAAGGCGGGAAGGACGAGGAGAGGAAGAGCGCAACACGCGAGCATAAGAGATATTAGCATAAGGCGGGAGCCGGCGAACCTGGCGCCTCGCCTCAGGAAAAGATAAACGCTCCCGGTGCTTCAAGTTGAGGACGGCTGCCTCAAGCTTGTAATGGACACACGCACGGGAGAAGGTAGGATGGGCCTCACCGCAGTTGAGGCAACGAGCCTGGGGAGAAGCGCACTCCGACTTAGAGTGACCTTCGCCACCACACAAAGGACAGAGAGAGACAGTCCCGGAGCAGCGGAGGGCACCATGCCCAAACCTCCAGCACTTGTTGCAGAGCCGAGGAGAAGGAATGTACTCCTGGACAGAGCACCTGGCACCAGCAAGAATGACAGAGGGTGGAAGGGTCCTACCATCAAAGGTAATCTTCACAACCCGGAGGGGTTGACGGCGACTACCACGAGGGGGACGAGTAAACGTGTCCACCTGGAGAATAGAATGGCCCTGGGCAGCGAGGATATGTCGAATATCGTCGTGGCAGTCGCGTAGGTCCCGAACACCGGTCGCAACATGGGGCGGGAGCAAAATAGTGCCAACACTGGCATTCAACTGAACGTTCTTCGAGACCCGAACGGGGGTCTCGCCAAGGCAGGATAAGGCAGCCAAGCGGGAAGCAGCATCCTGAGAAGCAGCAGCAACGACACGCGTACCGAGACGAGTGGGGTTAAAAGTAATGGAGGCATCCACGGAATCAGTGAGATGTCGATGAAGGGAGAAATCGTCAGGAGGCGCAGAATCAAGAGGGAGGAGATCAAAATATTTGGCCCACGAAGCGGGACCAAACAAGGCTTGATAGGTAGCAGAACTGGAAGGAATCGAGCGAGGGCGGCCGTGACGAGAACGGCGGTGAGAACCCCCAGAGAGAGAGGGGTTAAAAGGCGCAGTAGTTACAACTAGAGAAGGAGCCGCGCCAGGGGACGAGGTAGTCACCACTGGGGCCTTGGGGCTCGACCCAACCACAGAGGAGGGAGGGGAGCCAGGGGAAGGAGTCAGAGAGGCCAAAGGAGGAGCAAGGTCGGGGCCCAATGCAGCGGAGGCTACAGAGCCCGGTCTTCCAATACGGACCGACTCGGGGGCTTGGTCGCCCACCCCACGAGCCTGAAAAGGTAAGCCAGAAGCAGCCGAAACAGGGGTTATCATCTTGACGAAATTACGAATTCACTCACGAATGTGCCCCCACACCCACCATGGAGCCACAATTAGAGGCAGGACACCCAACAAGAAGCTATCGCCGATCTTGTCGGGGCCTCCTAGGGGTGCGTCGTGAGTATACGCCCCACAAACGCCACCTTAAGAAACCGACAGTCCGTCGAGATCGGGTTCAGTGACGAAGTGGGGATTGACAATAAAAGGTTCCCCTCGCTCTCGACGTCGGGTACTGCAGTTCTACGGGTGCAAGAGTATGCCTCCTCAAGCACCCGGGCGTCAAAGTAGAAGAAGTCCAAGGGAAGAACCAGAACGAGCAAAAGGTCGGCAGGAAACGGCAAGCAGATAGGAGAAGAGGGGGGAGAAAAACGAAACAGAAGGAAAAGGAAAAGATGCCCAGCAGAATTGGAGAGGACGGCAGCAGGAGCACAAGGCTAGAAAAGGACAGAGGACTGTCCCAAGGAGCATCACACTCCGGCAGCCGCCCACTAAGCCCCCAGACGGCGACAACGAGCTGAGCGGGGAGGGGGGGGAAAGGTCAGTAGTCTGACCTTGGGAAGGACCTCGATATAAGCCTATCATGTATATATACTGTCACACAATTACCCTTCATAGCAGGGTAAACTGCTTCTCCACTATCACTTTCGCCACTCATATATACATCACAGCGAAGATAATGCAAGATCTATAGACCTAAGTGTCTATCAAAGCTGTACATAGCCTGTAAATGTACATTCACTTGATAGTGTGAGAATCCTTGCTCCTGTCAGCAACTCTACCTGCCACATTGGTAGTTAACCTGCTGGCTCCTCATTTACCTACTGGTTCCGAGCCGATGACACAAGATGTGGTGTCACTAGACAGGTACTGTATATATACAGGTAGCGGGAGTTAATACGTTAGTCTCTCCAGGTGCTCCAGGTTAACAGCTCACTGTTTATGTCCTGCAGAAGGAGCTCATTCACAGGTTGTGGTGTTGGGTAAATATATTTTTTGTAGCCTTATTTGTTTGTATATAATTTGTTCTGAGCCTTAAGAGTAACTTTTCCATTATTGTATTTTGTTATTTCCATTTTTTGTGTTATAAGTTGAGTATTAAAGTTAATTATTTTATTTTTTGAATTAGTTTATATTTTTTGAGTATTTTGCTTGATACTTTAATTCTTGCCCATCATATTCACACTGCAAAAGCATAATGCATTTTTTTCTTTAGTGTCTCTGAAGCATACCACCTGCTGGGTATTGTCGCAGTACCTTTTCATGTAACAATACACTGGCTGCCTGTCCTCAGACACAATGACTAATTATTATATTAGATTACACAATAGAATGCATTTTGTGCATACAGTATTTTGATACTTGAAAAAAATCACTTGGAAAAATAGTATGCTGTTAAATATTTTGTTGAATTTTTTTTACATTCGTTTGTACGTATAACATTCCAAAAGCAACTACTATACGTTTAGAGACCAGGACTCCGCATGGATAGAATTTGTCCCCATTTTTCAGCCATTGTGCTGAACCAAAGTTTCCTACCAGATCAGACAAGTTATGGTTCATCTGGAGATTTGTAACAGCAGAATTCCACTGTTAGCATAAGCCCTCAGCATACCAGAAAGTTTCAAAGGGTGAACAAATCAACCGAGATATATCTTGGAGAATATATCTTCCCGACTGTTGTTGCACCTATATAGATGCAGTAACAGTCTGGAAGAATGTGAGGTGGCTCGGTTCATGAAACTCCTTTTTTGGGTATAGTGGTGTTATCTGGGGATGATTAATAAGATGTCTGGGAAGGCCACTCAACAGTTAGAAAAAGTGCTCTGCTGCCACCCACTTGTGATGCCAAAGAGTGATTGGAAGAACTTGTAGTTCTATGGATGAACATTCTGAAGGTCATTACAAGCTGGAATAAATGTTCTCTAGTATCTCCCTAACACTAATATGACCTTGCAGGATAGTTCCAGAGATTTCCTGAAGTGTCAGTGTCAGAATGTTGACTTGCCTGATTGTACATGATCCTGTCCTACAAACATAGCTTATTTTACCATACGAAGCAAGTGAGTATGTTAATTCACAAATACAATTAAAACAATGCAAACTCACTCCATGAAGACAATATTCTCCACTAAGAAAGTCTTCCACAAGTTTCTGATCAACTGCCGGTTGGGGTGGGAATAGGGATAATTTTGGTCGAGGTTCTGGGGTGGTAGAGAAAATCAACGGATCATCAGTGTCTTCCACGACTTCCAATTTGACGGACCCACTTGATGTGTCACCAGTGAGCTGAAACAAAGATCTATGCTAACACTTTCTGTAGCAATAAAGCAAGTGCAGTACAGAATATATTGGTATAGAGCAGGCATATTAAGCTAAGGGCTCCCCGAGGGCCATATGGGTCACACACGACAACTAACTGAAGTCATTTAATAAAAAATTATTGCAGAATATTTTTATTACTTAAACTTAGAAACATACAATGTATATACAAATGGTTTAGCGGGTAGCCACATTCATGAATGCAAAGTAATGAAGTAGTACAACCTCGATTCAGCGCACTATATGGGACCAATCCCGGTTTGTTGCAGGGTTGGATTGGTTGCACGAGGTGATGCCTTCAGGAAGCGTTTGCATCAGTGTCTTTTTTTCTTGTACACAATATAAATGCATCATCATATTATATACTGTACCTATATATTACTACTCTACTAAAAAATACTGTTACAGTTGTTGTTTACTTTATTGTTGGAGTTATGTCCATCTTGAAGTCTCGTGGAATTGTGAATGCTGCACAGTAAATACGTACTGTAGTGTATTATGCCATTAGCACTGTGTTGATTAAGTAGTTCTGATGCATGTTGAGTACTACAATACAGTTTATGAAAACTATTTTACACTAAAATCACTGTACTGAACTGCAACCTTAATTTTAACACTAACATTATGTACTTGAATTAAACACTTATTCTAACTATACACTCCGAACACGATGTTCTTAGATGTTTGCATCAGCTTTGCTGGTGCTGGCTGCTGCTGCTGGGTACGGCTGTGCTGGTGCTGGCTGCTGCTGCTGGGTACGGCTGTGCTGGTGCTGGCTGCTGCTGCTGGGTACGGCTGTGCTGGTGCTGGGTACGGCTGTGCTGGTGCTGGCTGCTGTTGTGCTGGTGCTGGGTACGGCTGTGCTGGTGCTGGGTACGGCTGTGCTGGTGCTGGGTACGGCTGTGCTGGTGCTGGGTACGGCTGTGCTGGTGCTGGGTACGGCTGTGCTGGTGCTGGGTACGGCTGTGCTGGTGCTGGGTACGGCTGTGCTGGTGCTGGGTACGGCTGTGCTGGTGCTGGGTACGGCTGTGCTGGTGCTGGGTACGGCTGTGCTGGTGCTGGCTGCTGTTGTGCTGGTGCTGGGTACGGCTGTGCTGGTGCTGGGTACGGCTGTGCTGGTGCTGGGTACGGCTGTGCTGGTGCTGGGTACCGCTGTGCTGGTGCTGGGTACGGCTGTGCTGGTGCTGGGTACGGCTGTGCTGGTGCTGGGTACCGCTGTGCTGGTGCTGGGTATGGCTGTGCTGGTGCTGGGTATGGCTGTGCTGGTGCTGGCTGCTGTTGTGCTGGTGCTGGGTACGGCTGTGCTGGTGCTGGGTACGGCTGTGCTGGTGCTGGGTACGGCTGTGCTGGTGCTGGGTACGGCTGTGCTGGTGCTGGGTACGGCTGTGCTGGTGCTGGGTACGGCTGTGCTGGTGCTGGGTACGGCTGTGCTGGTGCTGGGGGAAATTAAGGTCGATGCCTTCAAGCAGAACTGCTCAAGGTGGGGTTACCTGTGCCTCTTTCCCTCACTTCTGCTGTTACTTCAGGTCCTAGCTCGCTTGGAGACTTACCAAGAAAGAGTAGTTCTCTTGGCCCCTTGGTGGCCGGCCCAGCCTTGGTTTCAGGTGTTGCTTGCTCGGTGTCCGAACCTGGGGGTTTTCCCGCAGCTCTGCCTCTTTCAGCAGATTGGGCCAGTCCGTTATATGGCTGGTTCAATCTACTCAAGTCTTCGGGTCTATCACCATTTATATGGTGGGCAGGTGGCTTTGTTGATGATGTCTCACCTGCGTGGCTCGTCTTGGCGGTAGTATGAAGTTTCCTGGCGGTCTTTTCGTCATTTCTTGTCCCTTCACAGGTTTTCTTCTGTTTCGGATCGGGTTGTCTTGTCCTTCCTGTCTTGGTTGTTTCAGGACCATCATCTTGTGCCAAATACTGTCGCCTCGTATCGTGTGGCACTGGCGGAGTCACTGCAGCTTGTGTTCAGGGTGAATGTTACTTCTGCTCCATTCCACAAACTGTCTCGAGCATTGTTTCACCTCCGGACTGCTCATGCGCCTCCTGAGCTATCCTGATCATTGGACCAGGTGCTCTCTTTCTCTCTTCCCCTCGGTTCGTTGCGGCCTCTTCGGTATAAGGATTGTTTTGCGAAGGCTCTAATCCTGTTGGCATTGGCCTTTGGGGATTAGGTTGGGGAGCTTCATGCTCTCCTTCGGCACAGGGGTTTCTGCTCTTTTGGTCCTGGTAGTAGGTTTGTTCGTTTGCAGCCGTCTCCTTCTTGTCTGGCAAAGAATGAGACTGCTGCTTTCCGGAGGGATCCTTGGGTTGTTGATGCTTGATTGGTTCGGCCGGGGGTGCATCATGTGTTGTGTCCGATTGCACCTCTTTGCCGTTACCTGCATGCCACGGCCTCGGTGACCAGGGGCGTGCTTTGGGTTGACCCGGTTTCCCTTCTTCCCTGTTCCAGGGATCTGGTCTCCCAGGTCGTCCGCAAGGTTATTCAGTCCAGCCAGCCTGTGGTCTATCCTCGTACCCATGACGTTCGTAATTTTGCTGCATTGACTGCCATCTTCGGTAACATGTCTTGGCCCGACATTCGAGCACAGGGTTTTTGGATGTCAAACAGGGTTCTGGCCGCATGCTACCTTGTCAATGCTCCTGGCCCTAGTTGGGCATGTGTCGCATTGGGTTGGCGGTTGCAGCCAGTTACCTCAACTTCGGGTTGAGGAGCGAGTGGCGACCGCCTTCCAGGTAAGTCCCTCTTGTTTTTTATCTTCGGTTAAGTAGCTCTGGGGGGAGCCAAAGGGGTTCCCCCCAGAAAACCAACATTGAATGTAATAAAACACAGTCAGTGGTTTTCGCATGTGTTTTGACATCCAGCCTCAGAACTGTGTGGATAGCCAGCGCAGGGGTCTTGGGGTCCCCTTCCCCTTCCCGCAAATGGGGAAGCTGCACAGACAGCAGCGTGATGACGATTGTGACATGCTTATTTGCTCGTTTTTCATTTTGGAAGTTCTGTTCAACAGGTTGGCTTTCAGTAGCAATATCTTAACCAGATAGGGTTTGTTTTGGGGTGCTTACCTTTCTGGGTGCCTGACCTGCTCGATGGCAAACATAGAATGCTTTCAACCACACAAGGCATTTCTGTAACACCGTAAAGGCGTTTGGTTTAGTTTTATTTAAAATATACATAAAGATTCAGGAGTCACAGACAGGGATTTGAGAAGGCGCCAGTTTGTCGGCCTGAGTCTCACACCTCTAAGCATTAATGACCTCAAGTTGACCTGAGGTCAAGTCATGCGAATTCCACCTTGCTTCTGCTAATCGGATAATTGGCCTTCAAACATGCCGACGTTTAAGGAGTGGCTTGGTAGAGTGCCTGAGGCTATCTACTTGTGGGCGGAGTTAGTTACTAGATTCCCCAATATATACTCGGAGAGCAGAGCATAGGAGAGATAGAAGAGGAGCCAGCAAAGCAGAGGAGAAGACGGCCTAGCCAGGGAGGCTGTCAGCTGGCAGGGCGGGACAGTCTCTGTCAACTACAGACCCCCCCTCCCCCTCTCAATCCAGCTATAGGCAGACACTTGGTGAGTTGAACATTAAGGTGACTTGGTCGTGTTTACAAGTGTTGTGTGAAGATCAGGGGCAGTCCAGTTGTAGGGTTCTTGAATTCTTGGATGATGACTCACTTTGCATCTTGAACATTAAGTTGAAATGCTTAAATTATGATATCATGTGAAATATAATTGAAGTTATTATTTAAATTGTCTTTAACTTTGTTCCCTAGAGTTTTGAGTTGAGATGAGAAAGCCTCTGCGGTTTCATGATTTAATGAGTACATGATACAGATGGAACATACTAATAATGACCTCTTGATAACATCTTTGAGAATATGGTGATACAGGCAAGTTCCATTCCTTGTCTTGTATGTAATGGTCTAGAATGGATGGTGGCAGCATTTCGTCTTCTACTATCTACTTTTCTACTTCTACTATCTACTATTCTACTTCTACCTATCTACTCCTCTCCCTCCACCCCTCCTCTAAACTCTCACTTTCAACTGACAACCCTCCTCGCTCCTCCCCCCCCTCTCTCACCCCAAACCCTCACTAATTACTTCATTATTCATCTTTTCCCTTTCGTTTCTCTTATACGTTTGTGGCAGTGACTTGTGTTCTAGAGTTCTCTCTAGAGTTTCGGGTAGCTGATCAAGTTACGGCGCCTTGTAGTACCCGTACCTAGGTAATCAAATACTTAGGTTACAAGGTGTTGAACGAGAGAGGCTGCCATAGGAATTCTAGGGGTGCTCTAAAATAGTTAGCTAACTGAGGACGGTATAACGGACTAGAGAGAGCTGTTTCCCCCGGCCTCGTTAGTTAACTGGGGGGGGTGGAATAATGGACAAGAATAATGGAGAGCTATTTTCCCCCACCCCCCGTTACATTTCTATAGGCCATTGTTCCTCGTGCCTCTCTGAGGGGGCGAGGTTCTGGCTCGTTGAACCTAAGAACTCCATTCACTTTGATGCCAGGGTCTAATACATTCATATCTGCCCGGATAGCTCTGGGGAGCCTCCGGGTCTCACCCAGAAAACTGGAATTTCATTACATTACATTCAATGCTGGTTTTTGTACCTTAATTATGTTGAGATTTAGAAATCTTTTAAAAGGTGATAGCTCGAGTTATAAAAACTGCAATTTTGGCCATTAAATGAACAAATTACAGTACCCTTTGTGCGGATCGCAGGCGTACTTGCAAAGGACCGCATGTATACCCACATCATGAGTGAGGTACAATTTTTACATGCTAGTGACTATCTTTATCACCGAACAGTAACTGCCTCATTTTTTGCAGGTCGGCATTTAATCCTCAACGGTCCTAATGGTTACAAACCATCTTTTCTTCTGTCTTATCCCAGCTCCTTCTCTTTATATCCTTCCCAAGTGCTATACAGTAAAAAAACCAGCGTTGAATGTAACGAAAAGCCATTT